CTTGTTTATTTAATAAAAATCTGTTCATTTTGTGTGAGGTATTTGAAGAAAAATAAAGCGAAACAAAACAACAACAAACAAAACGTCCGTCGCGGGGCACACGATAGGACTATAGGTAAATAAACGGGCATTACGATGCGAGCGCGGGCGGGTCAAGACGTGGGAGGGGTAGAGTATCAACGGTGTTGAAGCGCGTAGGTACTTTTTGGCGAGTGAACGACGCAACGCGACGGCGAAAAAAGATTTCTACGACGATATGTTCGTGTCCGATGCGAACACTCAAAAAGGGTATCCGCTAATTTTGTGGTGTCCAATAATTAGAGGATCGACTTACGGCGCCCTTCTTTACTTTCTACGGCGCACCAGGGCGCCGCGGCGCACACTTAGGGAACCCCTGGTCTAAACCTTAATCCTAGTAAATCAATCATCTTTAATAATTTTTGGAAAAGACAAAGATCGTGGAAGGGTCATAGATAATATCGATTTGTATATTGATGAGAATTCTGTGGAATTGACTAACAAAATAAAATGTTTAGGGCCGCGTTATGTCGATAGATATAGGCCGTCACCGCATATGCTGGACATGCTGACAGCAAATGCATTAGGGTCTTGCGCGCCTCGCGGTAGGCCCTGCACCTTGTGTCAGGAACCTCTATACCCATCACGCGACTGCAGTAGACTAAGATGTTAAAGACACCATCCTGGCAAGCCATGATGAACCCCTCAGTTTCCGACTCCAGCCCACTCGATCTGAGAAAAGCGAACGTCAGGCGCTTTGATAAGCCAAGGTCTTCAATATTATTGAAGAAGACCCCATGCATTGGCTTATCCCTGTGTCTCCGCAGAAGTGAGGTGATCTCTGCGGCTTTTATAGTCACCTCGTTCAGTGTCGAAAACTAAACCGAGTTCATCGGCTGCTCGGGCAGCTGCCCTAAAGAGAAATGCTCCAATTCCTGCCCTCTCATCAATATAATTCGTGCCAATGAAAAACTTGAGTTTGGAAAAAACGTCACAACTGCTTATTCTTCAAGCTCAACATAAAATTCAGTGGCACAACAATGCTCCCAATTCCGCTGTTCCATTTTGCAGTCACAAAAATCACGTAGTTCAAAGGAGAAGTTGAAACTCGCACTCAGTGATGAAAAGGTGTTGATACACATGCACTGTGAGCAACATAGCGCAGCACTGCTAGATAGCTTGAAATGTTGTTAGGGTCAGTTTTCTACTATACCTCGTATATGTTTGCTTGTGTGTATAACACTTCCACTGAGTCACAAATGAACACTTTGTTAATTCCTTTACAATTTTTTCACGTTAGGTACAGAAATTAAATCGTATCATCAGCATCCTAGAAATGTTACTACTGATTATGTTGGGTTATCAAAACAATCCCCAACGTCCCATATTCATTTATAATCCAGCCATCGTCTAACCTGAGAAGCTACATTTAAACCTCATCCTTCTGACTGTCAACGTAATGCGCAGCAAATAAGTTAATTAGACTAGAAACACTCTTGTTCACTTGAGATTGGTTTTGGTAATTAAGACAACTCCGTCGGACTATGACTGGCACAAATTGAATACAAATGCCATTTCCATCTCCATTCGCACTATGACATTGTTAAGTCAAAGAGGGATCTCGTGAACATCCTTTGAATATTCAAGAGCAACGATGAACAACGTTATAACGCATCTACTGCGTACTACGAATATGTCACGATGAGGAGTAGGAAAGATAAACCACCATTCCACGTTTCCCAATATTATTTTAGTCCTTCCAAATTGAAAGAACACACGGTCGACTGTCGATTGTCGATTTGTCATATTTCATATTCTTGATGAATATGAAATGTAACAAACATTGAACAATTCGTTTTTTATTAATAAATACTCATCTGAAAACAGGACTGAAAATATGAGAATATGCAATGTATGTATTTCATGTATTCTCAAGATTTCGAAGTGATTTATAACTATGTCTCTCTTGAAAATTATATTTTTTCATTTTAAATGAAAACATTATGGTTGTAACTCTTTCTTTTCTAGTAATCCAATATTCTTGTGACAGTAGAGGGTTTTTACTTCCAGTTTGTATTCAATTCTTCTTCTCGACATATTTCGGAGATCAAAAAGTACATTTTATGTGAGACATTTCAAATATATAAAGGAACATACGTATGAAAATAATAGCATATGATAATGTCTTAGAAAGGTAGAATCCAACGTAATCCCCCATTTGGTGCCTTACAAAAATGTATGTACAGACCTACAAATATCAACAAAGCCTAAAACATAAACTTTATTATACAAAACCAATACTACGGACTGATTCAAATTATTGTAATATCACTATTCAGTGAGGAAAGATTTGGTCCGTTCACAAAACACATCATGTAATTCCAATATATCGAAAGAAATTTGCTGTATGCTACAGAAGGTGATCGTATTATATATAGGGGAAAATAGGGCAATGCCGGTCAGTGGGCAATACCGGTCATACCAATATTACCTTGAAACGAGTTGAATCTGGCAACAGCGAATCGCTCTAGCGGCGGATTTTAGTATTGTCGTACCGACCGCCTTGAGTAGATTCAGTCAGAGACAAGCGCTGAAGTAACACGATTGGCGGTTTTGTTTTTATGGTGTTTCTTGTAGTTCCACCAACTCTGAAAATAAGTTATAAGTACTTATATTTACTAGTTTTTAGAACTATACCTATTTCAAGAGTAGGTTACTACACCGTATAATCCTCTTACGCTTCAATATGAATACTATTAAAACCGTTAAGACTTCAAATGATTTTTGAATAAGGGCATGCATGTGAGGGTAAAACCGGTCAAGTGACCGGCATTGCCCACATAAAAAAGTTATATTTAATGTTTTTTTTAATTTTTTTATTACAGATGCCGAAGCCACGTATCAGAAAAACTGAGAGGGCAAAGTGGTCAGTTGAACATCTTAATGCTGCCAAACGATTATATGAACAAGGTGAGATTTCTATGCGAGCTGCTGCTAAACGATTTGAAATTCCATTTTCCACCTTGCAAGAAAGAATTAAAAAGAAAAANTATGAAACAGATTTAAATGTTTGCCTTGTGTGCAATGATTATGGACCAAATAGTGAAGTTTGGTATAGATGTACAACATGTGGACAATGGGCACATCAGTTATGTTCCGGGAAGGATACACCGAGGGGATATATTTGTGATTTTTGTGTATGACCGGTATTGCCCATGCCCATGACCGGTAATACCCACAGGTCAGGACAACTCCGGTCAATGACAAGTTTTTCAAATTGAGTGTTTTATATTACAAAATGTCAGTTTTTTCTTTTCAAATGTGTTCAATTACATAGAATAAATGTTACTTTATCTTTTGCTTTCATTATAATAATTACAGGTTTTGTATTTTCACTTTAATGCTCAAATATCGTTAACTGACCGGCATTACCCCATCTTACCCTAAGTGACTTTTGAATTCTCGTCTCGTGGGAGGATATTTTCAGTTGATCGCCATAACCACGAAAAAATCCACTGAATAGTTTTCTCTTTATACATACGGTTCTGCAACTTTCTTGATATTCCATATGAGAAATCATTTCCGAAATACGTTTTTCTTCTATAATTACCCGTTTGAAATTAGTTTCGAAGCCTGAATATACGAAGAAATATGGGAAATGGCTAATGTTTATAGTATATTCGATACATTTTCCTGATCTTTCCAGTTTTTAATCTATTTTATGGAGAATTTCAATTTATGGACTTGGACAACTCTTCTCATGAGGTATCTCGAGGAAATAAGAGTTCTTCTGAATGAGTGCCTAATTCTAAAGAGTATATCCATGCCGACTCTGAGCGTCTGTCCTTCAAGTACCGGGCCCTGTCTCATAATAGAAAGCCCTGTCACCTGCTCTCCCTAACTACTCGTGGAACCGTTAGTAGATCATAAAATAACAAAAACATCCGGCCTGAGCCTGCAGAGGAAATATACATCGCCTAAACGACTCCAACTGTTCTTCTTGTAACATCGGAACGAGAGTACAAGAGCCTCTCTCAAATTCCTAATTCTGATTACAAACATAGGAGGTTGGTGGTGCAGCTAGATAGTGACTCAGTGCCTCCTCTAACGAAGGCATCATCTATCTATCCTCTGAATCTGCCTTGCACAAAATTCTTGAGCAAAAAAGCAGAATCTGTCTCAATGGAAAAAAAAGAAATCTCCGGGAGTAGATCACCTGAGGTGAAAAATCCCTGCATGGCTGTATCTGATGAATCGTCATCTATAGCAATGAGTACTTCACATATGCCCTCATATAGGAAGGTTGCTGCTTTGGTCGGTCGGTAGCCAAGCGGTTCGGCGTGGGTGCTTTGTTCACTCACTCGAATTGACTGCCGTGTTGGTCGGTGGTTCAAGCCCTAGTCTGAACGATCGATCTTCACTTCTTATCGTCCAACTCGTGTTAGGAATCACACGTTAAAAGGTAAGACCTCGTTAATCCTTAGCTCGCACAAGTTTCGA